CAAAGTGTGATCCAATTATTTTATACCCAGCAAAGCTGACTTTCAAATACAAAAGACACAAACATCAATATATGGGACCTCAGTGGTAAATCTCCTAGAATATAAGCTTCAAACAACCAAAACTACTAGAGAGACACAAACATAAGGACTGGTGATAAGCACTAAACATACAGTTAACTATAAAACTAAGATTGAATTACAATTAGGAAGGCAAGAATAACAGTATATAATAACTATAACTATGACAATGTAGAATAGTTTATTTTTACAATGGGAAGAGAACAAGAAGTACATATGCAAAAAAAAATTAATGTTCTCAGTAATCACATCAATGGTAGTATTAGTACTGTCACTCCAAAGCTATTGTGTATCATATATATAATAGAGAATAAAAGAAATATGAGTAATGCTGGAACATTCTATTATGCCTTGTGCCCTCAAGAAAGAAAATTCTTAGTGTGAAAGAAGGATACACACAAACACACACAGGTAACAGAAAAGTTTAATGAAGGCTCTATGGTCTTGAATTTGAATTAAAAATATTAATATGAACTCATAAATAATTTTCATCCTTATTTTTCCTAGCTCTGTCCACTGAAAAGGCTTAGAAACAGTATCAATCCAGTAATAATGAACAACTCTCGTGTTCAAATTTTGGTCTTGAAATGCCATTGCTCAGTAAGAGAAACCAGAGAAATGAGTGATTCCAGAAGAAAAGTACAAGATGAATCTTAGGGTGCTTTGGTGGCTCAGTCAGTTAAAAGTCTGGCTTCAACTCAGGTCATGATCCAGGAGTCCCAGGATCCAGCCCCACGTGTGGGATTCCCCTTGAAAGAGAGTCTGTTTCTCCCTCTGACCCTCCCCACTCTTGTGCGTGTGCTCTCTCTCTCTCTCTCTCAAAGAAAGAACGAACAAATGAATGGAAAGAAAGAAAGGAATCTTATATTAAGTATCAAGGAGCTAATCAGTCTGAAGAACCAATCTGAAGAAGCTCCCATCTGCCAAAGATGAAACAAATTGAACTTCAACAATGACAACTGCAATTTATTGCAACCTATGAAATATGTTTAAATCTATAAGTTCATAATAACTAAAAAAAACTGGTTACCTTTGGAAGATGACAGGGAACTAATTATCATGAAAACTGGTACATAAAAGAAAAGAATCAAGGATTTATCCTGCCATTCTTACATGAATGGTACAACTGGGTAACCAAATAATAGATGGTGAGTGGAAAGTTATCTATTTATAATTCTACTCCATCTAATACATAAGAAGACAGAACTAGACTATTACCATTGTGTAATTCCCAGTTAATTAATACGGTCATTAAGTGTAAGAGTGCAAACGTCAACAAAAAAGAAAGCAAATCAGATATTTGGGGCCCCTTCTGGTCTTGCCAAAGGAATCTAACCTGAATCTGATTTGTATTTGGAATAATCTTCCAGTTTTCAAGAAACACAAAGAACTCAGAAATATAATGATCTGCACCATGTGTATGCAATCAGCACATTCCAGACTACGAAAAAATTTACAGGTCAAATGGCTCTGGTTCTTCAAGAGATAAATTATAAGGGAAAAAAAGGAATGGAGGGGGAATCTATAAAATAAAAATGACTTAAGAGACAGCAATCTTTTAATAGGTATGACAAAATTATAGTGTCTAGGGATGAACATCTGGATGATAAAATCATAAAAATATACAAGTGATTACCATAAAAAGGATAAATGGTATGCTACTGTAACGGTTATTTAAGGTGGGAAAAGCATTGTGATTAGAATGAGATACACAGAAGGAGCTTCTGGAATGAATGGCAAAAACTTACTTCTTACTTGAGTAAAACTTCAAGTATATTATACTTCATAATAATACATTAGGCCAAATATTTATTTTTTTTGTGGTTTTCCTGAATTTTCACTTTATAATAAAAAGATTCCTGTTCTAAATGATGGGAATGCACCTTTATTATATCACAGTTTTATACTTTGCATATATTTTATAAATATTCTTCTGTATCTGTTTAATATTAATTGAAAAATTTTAAAGAAAAAATATATTGTAATAAATAAGTAAATAAAAATAAGACAAAAGATTTGATCCTAAAAAAAAGAAAACTGTTCAAAATGAAACCTCTTCTTGGTTAAAGTCATGGTCCAAATGCTGAGTTGAATTCAGACCCTGCCATTCACCAATTCCCTAAGCCTCAATTTCCTCCTGCATAAAACTGCAATAATAAAAGATCTGAGGTTAACAATTAAATATTATACTATTAATTCACTATGTAAAATTGCATTTCTTATTTTCCATTTCTAACATACTTTTTAATTTAAGCTAAGAAAGCATCCATTTGGAGACAAGCAATTTTATTTAAGGGATCAAATAATCAAGATCTGTAATTCCTTACTACTCAATTATAGAAATCCCTTCTATTTTTATTTATTTATTTATTTATTTATTTATTTATTTATTTATTTATATTTATTTATTTATGACAGTCACACAGAGAGAGGCAGAGACACAGGCAGAGGGAGAAGCAGGCTCCATGCACCGGGAGCCTGACGTGGGATTCGATCCCGGGTCTCCAGGATCGCGCCCTGGGCCAAAGGCAGGCGCTAAACCGCTGTGCCACCCTAGAAATCCCTTCTAATACATAGCAGTGCATTTCTTTAATATATTTAGCGAACCTAGAAAAGTACTTATCACACAGTTCACAAAACAAAATCCCTGTTCTAAAAAAAACAAAAACAAACAAACAAAAATCCCTGTTCAGATAAGCTATTATGTTAGGAGAATGAAACAGACCAACATAAAAAGAAATAAACAGATAATACGTCAAATAGTAGTAAGTCTAAAAAGAAAAATAAAGAAGGATTATGTGATATTCATGGGAGAGGAGGTGCTATTCCAGTCAAGAAGACATCTCTAAAAAAAGAAAATATGAGCCTTTTGGGGAAACAGCATTACAGAGAAAAGACTGCAAGCACAAGGCAGAAAAACATTGTGTGTACTCAAGAAATGATAAAAACCAATGTTGGCTAAAACAGAATGAACAGGAGTACAATCAATGGAGACATTACATCAGGAAGAACAAAAGGGAAGATACCGTAGGGTTTTATAAGCCATAGTAAAAGTTTTAGATTTTGTTCTTTTTTTTTTTATTTTGTTCTTTATTGGATAAGAAACTACTGAGCATAGGAGTAAAACGTTCTAACTTATTTTTATCTTTTTTATTTTCAAATAGCTCCACACCCAGCATGGAGGAGCCCAACACAAGGGCTTGAACTCACCATCCTGAGATCAAGACCTGAGCTAAGATCAAGAATTGGACACTTAACCTACTGAGCCAGCCACCCAGACACCCCTCTAACTTATTTTTAAATAATCACTTTGTCCATGCAACAAAGAAGGGTGGTTAGTATACAGGAGAAGTGGAAATGGGTGAACTAGGTAAAAGGGTTTAAGAGTACACTTACCATTATGAGCCCTGAGTAAGGTACAGAACTCTTCAAACATATTGTACACCAAAACTAATATAACACTATATGTCAACTGTACTTCAAAGAAAGAAAGAAAGAAAGAAAGAAAGAAAGAAAGAAAGAAAACATATAGCAAGCAGAAGACTGTATTTTAAGAGATGATTAAACAAATCTATGAGAGACAGGGGCACCTGGCTGGCTCAGTTGGTAAAGCATGCACTCTTGATGTCTGGGTCATGAGTTTGAGTCCCACACTGGGGATAAAGTCACTTAAAACAAAACAAAACAAAACAAAAAAACAATTATGAGAGACAGGGGCTATTAAATGTCAAAGCTCTAAAGTCAAATTTCCTGGGTTTGATCTGAATATGAATACTGAACTGTAAATTCTAGCAAAGTTTCTCCATGCCTCAGTTTTCTCATTTGTCAAATGTCAAAAATAATGGTTACCTTACGGGACGTGTATGATTAAATATGAATATAAAGAATTTAGCTGATATGCGGTTAACAACTCAGTAAATATTAGCTATCAAATTTATTATTCTACTCCTACTTGTTTCCACTAACACAGGTTTCCACTGTTACTTTTTCTCATTGCCACCTCTATATATAATATTCCCTTTTAAGACTGGTTACATACTCATTTAAAAATTATCACAATAAAAATGAACTTTAAGTGTTCCTAATATTCTATATTTGATATGGTTTTTAATCAAAAGTATAGTTTCTGCTTCAGATGTTGCAAACCCACTCTGATTTGTATTACACTTTTTTTTAGCTTGATGGATCAATCTTCTTAAAGATAACTGAATCTTTGGATTTGTAAGAATCCAAAGCCATTCCTACTAACATTTTTTCTTCACTTCAAAACTAGATTAAAAACAAAATTAGGGCAGCCCGAGTGGCTCAGTGGTTTAGCGCCACCTTTAGCCCAGAGCCTGATCCTGGAGACCCAGGATAGAGTCCCATGTCAGATTCATTGCATGGAGCCTGCTTCTCCCTCTGCCTGTGTCTCTGCCTCTCTCTCTCTCTCTCTCATGAATAAATAAAATCTTTAAAAAAAAAAATAAAATAAAAAATAAATAAAAACAAAATTAATGTTAAATCCCATAAGGTGATGAAAAATCCAACATAGAATATAATAAGAATGGTAATTATAAATGCATCATAATAATCACCTGGACTTTTTGTGTAGTTGGTCGCATTCTTGATTTTATCCTTTTGTATGTCTGTGGGTATGAATTAGTAAGTTTGGGGTCAAATATTTGGTTTCCTTTCACATTTGACAAGCTTCCACTAAAGACAGGGTAACAAACTTGCCTCTGGACAGGATAAATGAGAAGGGTGAGAAAGAGACTTTGTACTTAAAACCATTGGCTTTATTTGGGTTCCTTCCTTTGCACATGTATTAACTTTTCAAGAACATAAGATAGGTTTTATAAAAAAAAAAATTTAATTTATTAGTAATTTACAAAACAATTTTTTAAAATTGTTCACCATAGTTCACCATAATGGCAGCTTACCAGATTGAAGATGCCAGTAATATATTAGTGTTGTTTGCAAGAAACCTCAACGGAGGCTCTGCAAGCAATACACAGGATAAAATTCCTCCACCAAAGCAATGGAGCATAGCAGTAAACCAGCTTGAAAAAGGGTTCTTCCGTGCCACCGCCGCAGCCCCTGGAACGGCAAAGTGGAAACGCGCTCTGAGAGAACTGTACACTGAATAAACGCTAAGGTGCCAGTGGCACTAAAGAAAAACTTCTTGGGCAGCCCAGGTGGCTCAGCGGTTGAGCGTCTGCCTTTGGCTCAGAATGTGGTCCTGAGCCACAGGAGTCCCACATCGGGCTCCCTGCATGGAGCCTGCTTCTCCCTCTGTCTGTGTCTCTGCCCCTCTCTCTGTGTCTCTCATGAATAAATAAAATCTTTAAAAAAAAAAAAAAAAGAAAGAAATGAACCTCTTAACTTCATGACTTTCAAAACCTTACTATTACTCATAAGTGCGACAATCACAATCATTATAAACTCTATCTTTTGTTCTTTAAACCAAGACTGGAAACACTTTGTTAAGACACAGGTGATCGGGACACCTTTAAAACACTCTGTCCAGCCTCTTACTGCCAGTTTCCTAATAGCACATTATTATAAACAATCTCCCTATCTACACTCTCTCCTTTCATTCCCAGCCCTGTTTTAAGTACTTCCAGTTGATACATCAAAGCAGATTTTAAGAAAAATTTATTTTCTTAATTACTTTAGAAAATAAAAGCTGAAATAAACTTAGCTTTTAACATAACAGGCTAGAAACAGAATAACAAAATAAACCCAGAGGTGAAAGGCTCATGAGGAACATATATATACATTATCTTAAAATGCCTCCTAACAAACTACTTATTAATTAGAGGGAAATAATTTTAGAGTGGAGAAACCTTGCAGACCTCACCATAAACAAACATCAGGTGACTCCTGCTATCATGCACTGAAAACACATCTTAACTTCTACAGTATTTCCACCAAAAATATATAACCCGAACTAATCTAATCAGATACACCCAAATTGAGGGCACTTCTGGGAAAATACCTGGCCTACCCTTTAGCAATGTCAAAGTCAAGAAACACATACCAAAAAATAAAATAAAAAATAAAATAAAGTAAAATAAAAGGCTGATAAAATGCTCCAGATTAAATAACATTAAAGAGACAACTACATGCAATGTATATTCTAGATCACATCCTAGAATGGGAAAGAATATTTACAAATGACCTTTTTGGACAACTGACAAAATCTAAATATGGACTATGGCTTAATAATAGTGTTGTATTACTGTTAAACATTCTGATTTTAGTAAATGTTCTATGGTTCTTATATATTAACAGACTTAAGTAATTTGAAGTAACTAGGCAAATGCTTCCAACTGACATTCAGGTGGTTTTGAAAAAAATAGTAATGCATAAATAAAAACACTCAGAGATGCTAGAGTACAAATTTCTAGTTCTAAAATGAGTAAGTTCTGGAGATCTCACGTACAGCATAGTGACTACAGTTAACAATACTATCTCATACACTTGAAATTTGCTAAGACAGTAGATGTTAACTCACGGGGTGGGGGGGTAACTATGTGAGATGATGGATGTGCTAATTAACTTGATTGTGATAATCATGTAACAATTCACATGCATCTCAAACCATCAAACTGTACACTTTAAATATATATAATTTTGTCAATTATACCTCAGTAAAGCTAGAAAAAAATTTTTAAATGGGGCAAAATGTAAATGCTTGATGAATTTGGGTAAAGTACATGAGAATTCCTTGACCTATTCTGGCAACTCTTTTGTAAGTTTGAAATATCAAAGGGAAAGTACAAAAAAAATTAAAAATAAACTCAACCAGAGAAACAGAAGCAATTTATAAAAATAAAAGCAGGGATGCCTAGGTGGCACAGTGGTTGAGCATCTGCCTTTGGCTCAGGGTGTGATCCTGGGGTCCTGGGTTTGAGTCCCACATTGGGCTCCCCACAGGGATCCTGCTTCTCCCTCTGCCTGTGTCTCTGCCTGCCTCTACAGATCTTTCATGAATAAATCAATAAAATCTTTTAAAAAATAAAATAAAAAAATAAAAGTAGAAACCAATTAAATAGAAATTAAAATAGCAAGATGGAGATGGGCAATCAATAAAGCTAACCCCAAGCTATTCTTGGAAAAACCAATAAAACAGACCATTGTTCAACAAGTCTGAGAAAGGGGCTCAGGGTAGGAACAAAAATAATGCAAAGCACTAGAAGGAAAAATAAAGAAATAGTTTTTATAGAGTTTTACAGGAAAACAACATGCATTTAATATAATAAATGTGAAAATGCAGTAGAAATGGACAATATAAATTAGCAAAATTCCCTTAAAAACAAAGAGAAAACTTGAACATATAAATAACTGGAAAAAACCTACAAGGCCAAGATCTATCTTAAGAAAGGTGCCAACTCAGATAAATTAATGGAAAACATTTACCAAATATTCTTGGATTACTCATTTTTATGCTATATAACCATTATGGAATACAGCAAAGGAGAAAAACTTAAATCATTCCATGATTAATCCAATATCATACATTATAAAGAAAGAAGAGTGAGAGAGGAAGGAGGAGAAGAAAAGAAAGGAAGAAGACACTATAATTTAGTTTATGAGTATAATGCACAAATATATTAATAATAAATTAAAATCAGTAGTTTTTTGAAAAGATAATAAATCAAGACAAGTAGATTTTATCCAAATTAAAAGAGTTCAATATTTAAAATTCATTTTTTTAAAAGATTTTATTTATTTATTCATGAGAGACACACAGAGAGAGAGGCAGAGACACAGGCAGAGGGAGAAACAGGCCCCATGCAGGGACTCAATCCCGGGACTCCAGGATCACGCCCTGGGTGGAAGGCAGGCACCACCCAGGTGTCCCTAAAAATTCATTTAAATCATTCACTATACTAACAAATTTATTATCATCTCCCATTTAGACAATTAAAGACTTAAAAATTCAACACGCCCAATTTCAAAAAAAAATCTAGCACACGGACAACAGAAAGAAAAGTACTTAACCTGAATAAAGATATGAAGGAAAAGATTTTTTTGACCTTACTAAAATTCAAAACTTCTATATGACAAAAGACTGGAATAGTGTTTTTCAACTTACATAAGGCAAATTCCAATAAATCAACAGAAAAAGACAACAAACACGAGAGAAAAATGGACAAGTCACAAAGCAGGAAATATAAATGACCAAATACATACCAAAAAAAAGAAAGTCATCAGAAATCAAGGAAAAACAAAATTTAAGAAGATACTGTATTTGTCACACATTCAACTGGCAAAAAAATGCACAGCTCAGTATTTATATTAACTTATTAGTTGGCAACAATGTGAAGAAGTTCATATACTGCTGTAAGAGTATTAAAAGTCATTTTAAAGAGTAACTTGGGAGTATAAATTAAAATTTTAATTTAAAACTGTCTCAAGTGGGATCCCTGGGTGGCGCAGCGGTTTGGCGCCTGCCTTTGGCCCAGGGCGCGATCCTGGAGACCCGGGATCGAATCCCACGTCGGGCTCCCGGTGCATGGAGCCTGCTTCTTCCTCTGCCTGTGTCTCTGCCTCTCTCTCTCTCTGTGTGTGTGACTATCATATATAAATAAATAAAAAAAATTAAAAAAAAAGGAGCAGTCCCAATAGTTCATTTAAAAAAAAATAAAAAATAAAAAAAAAATAAAACTGTCTCAAGTGTCCAAGGAATTTCATACAAGAATATTAAAGCAGTGTTGTTTATAATGCTGTGAAAAAAAATGAAAAACATCTAAATGACTATCATCAGAGAAGAGTTAAACAAACCATGATCATTTGTGGTATGGAATACTATACAGGAGCAATCAAGAGTGTGATATAGCAATATTAACATGGGAAGATGCATATACATGGAATGCACAGAAAAGGGTATGCAATACACCAAAATTAACTCCTATTATAGCTCTTGAGAAAGCCTGAGATTTGTGAGGATGGTCAAATTTATTTAATTATATTGATTATGATAAGATCATGATATAATATTATGATGATTTAATCATATTTGAATTCTTTTAACTAAATTATTACTAATTATAAAATTAAACAAAATTTTAACAAATTATGTCACACCCAATCTGTGGAATACAATGCATCTATTTTTTTTTTAAGATTTTATTTATTTACTCATGAAAGACACAGGGAGAAAGAGAGGCAGAGATACAGGCAGAGGGAGAAGCAGGCTCCATGCAGGGAGCTGGACGAGGGACTCAATCCCAGGACTCCAGGATCACGCCCTGAGCCAAAGGCAGGCACCAAACTGCTGAGCCACCAGGGACTCCCAAACCAATACAATGCATCTATTTAAAAGAATGTAGCAGCTTTACATGCACTGATAGACAAAAAAATATATATATATATGTATATAAACAATATGTATAAGAAATTATTGTACAGAAATCCATGTATTTCGATCAGTACCTATACATATAAATAATACATAAAATAAGGTCTGCAAGAATATATAACCAAGTTGTTGTTATCTCTTAGGAAAATGCCCATTTATGCAAAAACAAACAACAAAACAAACTACATAAATGTATATGTGAGTTTGTTAGGGTAACAACATCATCCTTGTATTAACATGGAAATTCATCTGTATGTGCTCAGGGAGAAAAAAGGAGATAAAAGTCAAATAGTGCAACCCACCATTCCACACAACAAAACGTGCCCAGGAGTGAACATGAGTTGGCAGATGTGCATTTTCTGTGGTGTACATATCCTGTCAAGTGAACATGTGATGCCAAGGTTTAATGATATACGTCTGGTGAGAACTCAAGAAATGGTGACCTGTTCCAAATCTGGAAGAAAATTCAATTATGAGAAAAGTACTAAAAGGCAGGACATCAATTTTCAGTGTAGCAACTTCCTTAAACCTAAGAATTTTCAAGGATTATTTTGATAATACATGCTGTCTCTAGAGCCAAACCCCCATGTAAGATATGACACCGCTATGTCTCTACTTAGATATTATTACCCACCTAAATATGTATATGGGCACTAGAGCACCACGGAGTGGTGACTGATTATAACATTGGTCAGTCAGCCTAACAAATGAGTATTATCTTTTCTTAGGTAATGGTCACTAGCTTCCTCCACACTGCACCATCTTCATGTTGAAAAGCAATACAGAGGGGTGCTGCGTGGCTCAGTCGGTTAAGCGCCTGTCTGCCTTTGGCTAAGTCAGGATCCGCTCAAGGATCAGACTCAGCAGGGAGTCAGCTTCTCCCTCCCCTCTGCCCCACCTCCAACTTGTATACACAGGCACACACTCTATCTCAAATAAATAAAATCTTAAAAAAAAAAAAGCAATTACAGAGTGCTTAATATAGAGTGCTTATTGACTCTATAGTTCAACTACTCAGGTATAAATCCTGGCACCAGCACTTACTCTCTGTGTGAACTCAACAAGTTGATTGTTTGCTTTCCCACATCTTCAAAAAAGAAAAAATACACATACGGAAGTGGTAAAGAAAAAAGTAATTTACACCACACGGTTGTTGTAAAAATCAACTACAAGGGAGTACTTTGAAATCACTCAGAATGGGGACCTGGCACACAGTAAGCAATAAGTATTAACTTATCACTATTATTATATAAGTAAATCAAAATAAGCAAAAAATTATCCTTTCCTATTTCTACCATTCTATCACACTCCTATCCTGAGAAATGACAACTTCCAGACTTTTTCCCTATGCTTATTTACACATACACACCCTTTATCCCCCTTACTCTTAACTGTCTCCCAATCCTACCCTGTGTGTGTCCCTCTCTCTCTCTCTCTCTCTCTCACACACAGGCATACTCTGGTTCGCTCTGGGAATGCATTCTGGAAATGAGAGTCCTAACTGCATGACAGCCATAACGAGCCCATCACAGCACAGTCACTATGAAGAACACATTCTAAGGTAACTTATTACTTCAAATAAACATACAATTAGGAATACTCACTGGTGTCTGTCCTCTGTGTTCCTGTGTACTACTCTAATGGAGATTTACCATTACCTTCAGCTACCTGATACCCACCACTCACTAACTTAGCCAAATTTTAATATACCTGGGTTTTCCTTTGACCATTAAAACAATCCAAATCAAATTTACTAAGTGATTTCATTTAAATGATTCACTCATGTAATACTCATTTCTGATTAGGTCAAAATAACTTTCATTTTTCCTCAACTTGCACATTTTATTCTGTCCTCTTAGGACATAATCACATTCTAGATTTTGTATATGTGTTAGCTCCATTATAAAGTTCTTATCTCTTAAAATTCTAAGAGACTTTAGACAGTAGGTACTCTATAAATATACTGAATGACAGAAAAATATGTGAAATATTTCAAGAGCTCAGTATTATGATTTTAACTACCATTAACTTCCCTTTGTATTGTCACAAGTCAAAGAAGCAGCTGGAATTATATACCAGTTTTGTGACCTCTTTGTAGGATCACTAAACCCTGCCGGCTTAAGTTTCAACTTTCACAAAATGGGAGTAATACATAACTTAAAAGGATTTAAAATAAGAAAATATACAAAAAGACATATTTACTACCTAGTACACAGCAGACACTTGTTGATATATCTACTGAACGGACTGATCATTACCAGCAGAGAAAGCAGGCAAAATGCAACTTCTGGCTGCTTCTATTCTCTGAGCCCCAGATAAAATTATTTTCAATTCTTATTGCAAGGCTGAGATGAAAACAACACACCATAGCACTAGGGAAGTACTTATAACCCTAAGACACTTAAACCAGTGAAACGAAGATTTTATTAGAGAAAAAAAAGAAAGGAAAAGAACAATTGAAGAAGGGTCTCTCTCACATCCATCTTTTTTGTCTAATTTTCAAAACTATGTCTGCTAGAAAAATTTCCCTTAACTCAAATAGGCCTTTCTATGGAGTTCTTTTCAGTATATACACTATGGTAACACATTTTACAGTATGAGGCAATCCTATGACAAATCTCTTTAGGTGTTATGTTCTTTTGTATATATCATACCAGTAGCAGAATTAGTTTATTGTGAAGTTAAACTGTGAAAATACAGAAAGGTAACCAGAAACAGCTTGTATATCTTTTCCTGCATATAAATAATTGTCAGTAGAAAAAAGTAGTTAATAAAAAATAAAATAGTTAATAGTTAAAAATAGTTAAAAAAAATAGTTCTTTGCTTTTTTTCTCAGTTTTAAAACATTCCTTTAGCTAAGGAACAAGCTGACATTAGGAGATGTTATTTTATTTTTAACATGCTCATATTTAAAAGACAAAAAATTATCTGTCCTATCTTAAGATGTTTGTGATATTCCCCAAAACTCTTAACAAAATTTGTCACATTGAGATCTGACTCTAATTCAAAGTAGGAGTTCTGAAAAAAAGAAAAGAAACAAAAAAAGTATGAGTTCTGAAGCACTCATAATCACCTATGGACTTTAACATCAAGATATTTTCATTATGAAATGAAAGCTAGAAAATAAAGTCATATTCTACTTCCAGTTTTGGATCAAGTTTGGATCATAGTGGGCCAAGTAAATCTACAGACCCACCTTGTGGTTGTTTCCATAGTTCCTTAATGTGTAACTAGAATAGACGTAGCTGGCAAGTGACACAAAGTCCATAGTGATCCTCTGATTTATGGAGTCAGAATCAGTATGGTAGAAACATTCGAGTAGAAGCCCCTAGAGCTTCTTCTCCCCCTCAAGGTATTTTTAAAAAGCAATACCACAGAGATGGGTGCCATAACCAAAAACGTCAAAGATGAAAAGGTGGTGATAGCTATCACATCCCATTTAACTTGCCTATTTGGTCTATAAGTACTAAGCAGATGGATCTTGGAGAATGCCTGTGGATTATCAGAAATGTAGACAGGTAGTGACTCCAAATGCACTGTATTCAAGATGTGGTATTTTTATGGGAACAAATCAATATAACCCCTAAAACCTGGTAGGCAAATTCTTTTTCTATATTAATTTGAAGGAACCCCAGAGACACCTCTTTTACCTGACTAGGTGAACAGTATATTGCAATCTTGCCTTAGTTCTATGTCAACTCTCCTGTTCTCTAACAAAGTCACAGAGATTTTGATCATATTGGGAATCCATCCAACATCACACTGACCCACTACAACTAATGACGTTATACTGACTGGATCTAGACAGGAAGTAGCCAGAACTTTAAATACCCTAACTTGACATATGCAAACTGGAAAGTAGGAAGTTAAACTCCATTGCTAGGACTCTGTACCAGTCTGAGTCCAGTCAGGGAACAAAATGCATAGTTATCTTAATAGAGAGAATTTGCTATAAAGACATTAAGTATAAAACTGTTAACTAGATTGTTAAAAAGGTAAAAAGTACTACAGTATCACAGAGTTATCAACTACAGAAAGCAGTTTACCACTACTGGGGAGACAAAGGATGGGTTGAAAATATCTTTAAACTTTGAAGTTTCAGGGGATCCCTAGGTGGCTCAGCAGTTTAGTGCCGCCTTCAGCCCAGGGCGTGATCCTGGAGACCCGGGATCCTGGAGACCAGGGATCGAGTCCCACATCGGGCTCTCCACAGGGAGCCTGCTTCTCCCTCTGCCTGTCTCTCTGCCTGTCTCTCTAATGAATAAATAAAAATCTTTAAAAAAAAAAACTTTGAAGCTTGAACATCTCTTTAAAGCCAAAACTGAGACTCCTAAGGAGGAAACACAGCTCAGCTGTTGTTCTAGTCCAGCCCACTCACTGCACAGATGAAATATTGGGTTTTTTTTTTGGGGGGGGGGGTTAATTTATCTCAAACTACCCGGTTAGTGATAGAGTTTTAATACAGGTGTCCTGATTTTATTAGCTCTTTTTACCACATCACACTCCCTGACCAATATTTTATGTCATGTCAAATATTCTTTCACTTAAAAATTAAAGACATTTAAGTAAGACTCTCTAATAGAAGTAATATGAACTGTCATTTCTGAGACATCCTTTTCCACCCTACACTGGGAGAACAAACTGTCACTTTTTAAAACATCACATAACAAAAGAGGCTTTTGGGGTTTCATGAATTTTTTTATCTGGATATTGATTAAATAGATGTGCTCATTTTGAAAATTCATTGAGCTTTTTTTTATCAAGTCGCAGGTCGGGCTCCCTGCATGGAGCCTGCTTCTCCCTCTGCCTGTGTGTCTGCCTCTCTCTCTCTCTCTGTGTGTCTCTCATGAATAAATAAATAAAATCTTTAAAAAAAAATCTAATATAGTGCCTGATACACAGTAAAGTTTCAATGAACATTTGCTTAACTGAACTTCCTGTGATTCAAGAAAGGTTAGCAACACTTGAAGTATTTTAGATATTCCTAAACTATGAACTTTCTTAATATCACTGTCTTGCCAGATCACCAATACTGTCCCCTGTAGTATAAAGGGGGAGAATTAACAGGAAAAATACACTGTGTTTCTAAAAAATCAAGTAGAAATAACTGTAGATTAAATTTTCAGGAAGTTTTACCAAAAATAGCAACTAGACATGAATGTATGATTGCAGAAATGTGTTAATTTTAATGAAGATTTAAATAAGAAAAGAGAGAAGGCAGATTTAAAATGTAAGGAAAAAAATAAAATGTAAGATATAAAATGTAAGATAAGGGGCAGCCTGGGGGGCTCAGTGGTTCAGCGCCGCCTTCAGCCCAGAGCATGATCCTGGAGACTCGGGACTGAGTCCACATCGGGTTCCCTGCATAGAGCCTGCTTCTCCTTCTGCCTGTGTCTCTGCCTCTCTCTCTCTCTCTCTGTGTGTCTCTCATGAATAAAAAAATAAGATCTTAAAAAAAGTAAGATAAGAGAGACTAAAGTTGATATAAACTTTCTGTTAAGTGGGGTTTTTCTTAAGATTTTATTTATTCATGAGAGACACATAGAGGGGCAGACACATAGGCAGAGGGAGAAGAAGCAGGCTCCCCACAGGGAGCCTGATGTGGGACTTGATCCCAGGACCCTGGGATCACAACCTGAGCCAAAGGCAGATGCTCAACCACTAAACCAGCCAGGTGTCCCTGTTAAATGGTTTCTGACTAATAACTCTCAAGACAGCATTTTCCAACTTCCTACTAAAATAGGAAAACAAACAAGCAAAACCTATAACTACTAGCCAAAACTAAAAACTATAGAAAATCAGATGCCAAGGTTTAGGAGGAACTAAAGTTAACTATTTGACAAATGGAGGTAAATTAAGAAATAAAAAACAGGGGATCCCCGGGTGGCTCAGCGGTTTCGCGCCTGCCTTTGGCCCAGGGCGCGATCCTGGAGTCCTGGGATCGGGTCCCGCGTCGGGCTCCCGGCATGGAGCCTGCTTCTCTCTCTGCCTGTGTCTCTGCCTCTCTCTCTCTATGTCTATCATAAATAAATAAAAATAAATCTTAAAAAAAAAGAAATATTTAAAAAACAATCCAAATTATTAAATACAAGTCATGTGGAAAAGGAAAGAGGAAAACCATCATCTTTCCTTGGATTTGAAGCCTACGACTTGAACCAAACCGCAAAGGGACGCTGTCCTTATCCATACCACAGAAAGAGTTAATCCCCTTTCCCTGTTTCCACTAGCATTGTTTAAGCTCTAGGAAGAGATATATAAGATGTAAATGGTAGGCAAGTGAGGAGAGAGGTATTGGCAGTAATAAAATACATTCCAAAAGTCAGGAGTCTCAAGGAGTAACGTGCTCCAGAAAATAAAGATAAGAAGAATCCTGGTACTACATAGATGAATTATAGTTTTATTGTACAATAGGTCTGAGTTCTAGAGAATCAGTCAACAGGGGATAAGAAAAAGTTGCCAATTAAATAAAAATTTAAACAAAGTATTGGCAAATAAAATCCCTAGTGAATTAAAATGATACCTCAAACAGGTGGAGTTTATTCCAAGAATACAAGGGTGATTCATCATTTTTTTAATTTTTATTTTTATGTATTTTTTAGTAATTCCTACACCCAACATGGGGCTTAAACTCACAACCCTGAGATCAAGAGTCACATGCTCTTCTGACTGAGCAATCCAGGAGTCCCTGATTCATCATTTTAAAAAATGTATTACATTACAATTTAAATAGGAAAAACAATATGATCAACTCAATGAAAAGTGAAAATACAAATTGCCAATAAATTTAAGAAGCATACACTCAGTAACCCTGACAGGTACAAATGAAAACTATTTTTCTGATCATCAGAATAAGATAGTTAAGAATGATAACAGTGGGGGGGGGGGAAGCAAATATTGAGGAAGAAACAAGCAGTCTAATATACTTCTGGTAAAAGCTTAAATTGGTACACTCTTTTGTATGAATTCTATCATTTTCACCTGTTTACAAGCACTGGTACTGGAATGTAAAGTATGTTTCTCTCTCTCACACACACACACATATATAAAATATATTCACAAGATGTAATCCTGTTTCAGCATTAAATTACTCCAGTGCTTCTCAAATTTTTTGGTCTCAGGGTCTTAGGGTCTCTTGCGCCCCTAAAAATTAGTGAGCAAATGAATGGTTGCCAGAGACTGGAGGAACGCCAACTACAAAGGGCAGGAGGGAATCTGGGGTGAGTGATGAAACTATTGGATATCTTGATAGTGGTGGCAATCACATGTCTGTATGTCTTTGTCCAAAATCACAAACTTTAGGACAGCCCGGGTGGCTCAGTGGTTTAGAACTGCATTCAGCCCAGGGTGTGATCCTGGGGTCCCGGGATCGAGTCCCACATCGGGCTCCCTGCATGGAGCCTGCTTCTCCCTCTGCCTGTGTCTCTGCCTCTCTCTGTGTGTGTGTCTCATGAATAAATAAATAAAATCTTAAAAAAAAAATCACAAACTTCATTTTAAAAGGTGAATACATGCAAATTAAACCGTTAAAAAGTCAGACTTGAAAAAAAAAGTTCTTGAAGACCCCAAAGAGCTTTTATGTGAGTTACAGGTATATTTAGCTTATTAGAAATTGTTGAGAAAATTTTAAAGGAGTACTTAATGTTTTTCATTTTAAAAATAATAAACATACTAAATGTTAACATCAATTATGTATTCTTTATGAAAAATAAGTGTTTTCCAAAGCAAACATTTAGTGAGGAAGGTCCCACTGTTTTATGTTAGCAAATCCTTTTTTTATGTCTGGCTTCAAGCAGAAAACAGCTGTACTCTCATATCTGTTTCTGTATTCAATCTCTTACAGCATCACAGGTCATGTAGCCTCTGGAAAACTCCACTGCACACTTGTGAGAAAATGAGTGTAAGGAAAGACAAATAATATTTGCATATTATTATGAAAATAATTTTGACCTGGAAATGTCAGGAACCCCAAGGGTTCCCGGGCCACACTTTGAGAACCTGATTTGGTCTATACAAGAAAACTCCAAATACTGAATATGGCATGATAAGGTACTTCTTTTCAAATCAGGGAAACACTTTCACTTACACAGATTATCTGTCCTGATTTAATACAATATCCACCTTTTCCAGGGCAAAACTTCGACCAAACAATGCTTTAAAAGACTGAGCTACAAACATCAATGTAAGTGAAAAATATTTCTGAGGGCAAAGAGTCAAAAACAAAAACAAAAAACAGTCCCCAAGAGTTACAGCACCTCTTCAAGCCCTCATTCACTCATTAATGAACTAAAGGACCAGGCAGCATGAACAGATAAAACGTAGGAAAAGGGAGAAAAAAAAACAAAAATGCCTGAGCTCAAAGAAAGAAGAGAGTCATAAAGGATCCAAAAGGCAAGCAGAATAACTGCAGAAGTAAAGCAATACAGGCATAAACATACTCTGAGAGTAAAAAAGACAAATATTGCTCCTTGACCATATACGATAAAGAAACCCTCAAAACGCTGTAGTGAAACCGTGCCAAATGACCCTTGGACAACGTCACGCTTACGACGGAAAAAGGGAGATCCCCTCTCTTCCAACCACAATCACTTTATTCGGCTGCAGAGCACGGTGACAGAGCTGGGTACGGAGAAGACAAGTGTCCCTGCTTGGGGCTCTCTGAGCGTCCACACAACTTTCAGGGCTGCAGAGCAGTCCAGAACCACTCCTTATTCCAAGCGACCAAGCTCCACTTGCTGTCCCCGGGGGGACTCTGTCCCCAGGTGACTTTTACGGTTTTTTTAAAGATTTTATTTATCTGTTTATTCATGAGAGACACAGAGAGAGAGACAGACAGAGACAGAGACAGAGGCAGTGACACAGACCGAGGGAGAAGCAGGCTCCGTGCAGGGAGCCCGACGTGGGACTCGATCCCGGGACCCCGGCGTCACGCCCTGGGCTGAAGTCAGGTGCTAAAGCTCTGAGCCACCCGGGCGGCCCATCTTAGGCACTTTTTCATGTTTCTTGGCTCTTTAGAAATACTCTGTGTGTGTAACTGCCCATTAAAGTTTCTCTCCTTCGTCTTCCTCTTCCTTAAACACATTTTTTTCCTACTGAATTGTCTATCTTTTTGTAACTGATACGTAGTTCTGTATACACTTTATTTACACATCCTTTGTTGGTTCTAGTCTTGCAAATACCCGTTCTCAGGTTGTGCTCTGTGTTTTCAGCCCTTGAATGGTGTCTTCTGATGAACAGTTCTTACTTTTATTATTTTTAAGACTTTATCTATTTATTCGTGAGAGAGACGCACAGAGAGAGGCAGAGACGCAGGCAGAGGGAGACGCAGGCTCCACGCGGGGCGCCCGACGGGGGGCTCGATCCCGGGACCCGGGGTCACGCCCTGGGCGGCAGGCGGCGCTGGAGCGCGGAGGCCTCGGGCCGCCCCCGCAGCTGAGCCGTGAACGCCGGGGCTCCCCAGGCCGGCGGCGGCGGCGGCGGCGGCGGCGGCGCCCGGGGACCGCGCAGGGCCAGGGCGGTGCAGGCGGCGGTGCAGGCGCTCCGGCTCCCACACGCCGCAGCGGCGTCTTCCCCGTCAGCTGCCCCTGCCCGCCGCGGCGTCCGGACCCGCGGTCGCGCCTCCTCTGACGACTCCCGGGGCCACACACACACACACACACCCGCTCCCTGCCTCAGTCTCCCCCCGCGCTCGCGAGGCCGGGCGGGTCGGCCCCCGCGCCCCTCCAGCCCGTCTCCAGGCCCCGGGCCGTTCGGGCGGCTCCGGCCGTCCTCCCGGGAGAGGCACCCTGAGGGGGCCGGTGTGCGGCTCCCGCACTCACCCGGCTGACGCTTCAGCGCCATCACGGACACCAGGTAGTGGGCGATGTCAAAAAAGGGGAACATAGACGTGCGAGAAAAGGCAAGGGTCAGCTCATCCCACGGAGAGTCCATGACGACGACCGACAGCAGCAGCCGCAGCAGCCCCGGCGACGGGTTCCTGCGGTGCGCGGCCCGGGTGGGGGAGGGGCCGCCGCCTCGCGCCCGGGCGCGCCGCCTGCAGGAGCCCTGCGCGTGCGCCCTGGACCCGGCGCCGGCACGCTAGGGGCGGGGCGGGGCGGGGCGGGGCGGGGCGGGGGGGCGTGTCCTGGGGGGTGGGCGGGGCCAGCGGCTTCCCGCCTGTTCCTGCAGGGCCGAGCCTGGTTCTCCCAGGCAGGGTCTGGCGTTCTTCGTGCTGCAAACGGTGCCAGCTCCAGGAGAATGGGCAGAGGAATATATACGAAGTGAATTTTATTTTATTTTTATTAAAATATTTTATTTACTTATTCATGAGAGACACAGAGAGAGAGAGAGAGGCAGAGGGAGAAGCAGGCTCCATGCAGGGAGCCCAATGCGGGACTCTATCCCAAGACTCCAGGGTCACATCCTGGGCCAAAGGCAGGCCCTAAACTGCTGAGCCACCCAGGGATCCTCTGTAGTGAATTTTAAAATGCACTACTTACATTAACCTTTAGCACATTTGGGCAGCCCGGGTGGCTCAGCGGTTTAGGGCCTGCCTTTGGCCCAGGGTGTGATCCTGGACTCCCGGGATCAAGTCCCATGTCCGGCCTCCTGCATGGAGCCTGCTTCTCCCTCTGCCTGTGTCTCTGCCTCTCTCTCTCGCCGTGTCTCTCATGAATAAATAAATAAAATCTTCAAACAAACAAACAAAAAAATAGATAAATAAATAAATAAATAAAACCTTAAAAAAAAACATTTAGCACATTTATTATTTTAAAGCCATACGTAAAGAACTTTTAAATTTTTCTCCTAAGATGTGAAATATGCTAAGTATTGATTGCGTAGCCCTCGTAGAGTCTTGGGGACTCTTTTGGGTCCTCAAGAAATTTTTTTAGGGATTTGACTTACATACATTGCATTCACCCTTTTTAATATAAAGTTCTATGATTTGGGATAAACCTGTACAGGCCAGAGGGGTAGAGGTTCAGAGTGGGATTAACTTCTTTAAATTGATTCACCTGACATTTGTCAAGCAAAGCTAGTGTGTAAGGCACGTCGTGATTTAGTGGAGATCTAAAAAAAAAAAATACAATAATATCGTGCCCTCAGTAAGCTTGTGTTTTCTCAAGAGATTAAAAGTTTTTTAGGCACACACGTCATTTGTACAGAACTGGTAGTGAGAAGCATAGGTGCCATGCTAGAGCAGTTCCAAGAAGAGGAGGACTATTTCAGGGAAGTGGTAAGGTGACCTGGCCTTACAGGCTAGATAAGAGAAGGACAGAGGAATTTTGGCTAGACTACAAAGTGAGAAATGAGGCTAGAAAAGAAATCCTTGAATGGCATACCACAAACTATGTGGCTTGGCTTCAGAATCTAAGCTCTTGATCACTACATTATGCTCAGACAAATCAGAGCCAGAAATCCATTCTCTTTTTTTTTTATTTTATTTATTTATTTATGATAGTCACAGAGAGAGAGAGAGAGAGAGAGAGAGAGAGAGAGAGGCAGAGGGAGAAGCAGGCTCCATGCACCGGGAGCCCGACGTGGGATTCGATCCCGGGTCTCCAGGATCGCGCCCTGGGCCAAAGGCAGGCGCCAAACCGCTGCGCCACCCAGGGATCCCCAGAATCCATTCTCTTAACCATTATACTAAACTGGGTTTTTCCCTTTTTGATGGAAGTGGAGGGTAATGTGCAATCAACAAATAGTTTAGGAGTAAATTGGTGAGAAAAGACTGGAGACTGGGAAAATCAAAAGGTATTCACTTTCCATACTTTTTATGCATTCCTTTATCTTTGGAATTGTAGTGTTATGAATTTAGGAGCACAATTTGGATAGTGTTTCCCAAAAGGTTTTACATTTGACAATCTTAAATTTCATAAAGGATGCATTTTGTTCTTTAAAAAGCAATATATATGAAGTACTCTTTGCAACACCTCCAATGATAGTCTATGCCACTATTATTCTAAGGTATAATTAAATCAATTATTAAGACCAATAGGACAACATAAAAAGCATCAGAGCTTTTTAAAAAGCAGGTAAATCCAACATTTTACTTACCCTAAACAGACTAATTCCAACAGAAAGAAATGAATCATTTCAGGCTCTCCTAGTAATCTGAAACTTGTTTCTTTTCAAAAACTGAGAATAAAATGGGTCTCCATCTGCCTAGAGTCTAAAGAAAAAAAAATGTAAATCTAAGAAAAATGAAATTATAATCTTATAAAAAGACAAGTTGTATCCAAATGTTAAATATGCTCACTATATTTGCTTCTGGTCAGTGCTTCAGTTATTTAGTAAAATAAAATAATCCAGAATAAAAGGAAGTGGGCAATGAAAGAAGGAAAGGCTTTGAACTGGTAACAGAGCAAGGCGAGATTGGGGGAGATTATATGTGAATATTCAAACTTTTCCTGACTTTTGGAAGCAATTTACAAAGTTACATAATCATTGCAGAAAAATGAATTTGTATTATAAAGTATTGCTTATCTATTAGAAAGTAAAGCTGGTCTTATTATATGAATATCTAGAAGAGTTTAGACTAAAAAGAATTTGAGTTCAAAAACATGTGAAACTGGGATCCCTGGGTGGCGCAGCGGTTTGGCACCTGCCTTTGGCCCAGGGCATGATCCTGGAGACCCGGGATCGAATCCCACATCGGGCTCCCGGTGCATGGAGCCTGCTTCTCCCTCTGCCTGTGTCTCTGCCTCTCTCTCTCTCTGTGACTATCATAAATAAATAAATAAATAAATAATTTAAAAAAATTAAAAAAAAAAAAACATGTGAAACTAATTTTCATAAACCAGATTTCTCAACAATACTATTGGCTCTTTGTTGTGGTGACTGTCTTATGCATTGTAGGATGTTTAACAGCATTCCTAGCCTCTACCCAATAGATGCAGTAACACACACATGCCAAAGATGTCTCCATATATTGCCAAATGTCCCAGTAGAAGGCTGGGATGAAAATGCCCCTCATTCAGAACTACCCTTATAAATAAATAAATTTTTTGCAGTCTGTATCTCTGTATACAAACATTACAGTCGTGCCACTAATATTAATCATGAAGTTAATTCTAGAACAACTCACATAACCCTTCTTAGTCTCAGCTTGCTTACCCATTCCCCCCAAGTCAAGGTGGCAAAATCCCAAAAACTAGTATCTCAAAATGTAATCATCGCTATCTCTTCTCTGCAATACTGCTTTCCATCCACTGAGTGGCATGCCTTTCACTTTGGGAAATCAGTAACAGTAACTTTTTAAAGAACCATAAAGGGCCCATAGTTAGGTTTCATATTAAAGGGGCTAATTACACTTCTAAACTTTGATATTCCAATCAGACATTTTCACTCTAAAGTTATTTTGATAGGTATCTGATACCATGCCATATCAAATTATAGTGTAATATTATATGACCTTTACAACAAAATGTTTAATTTGAATTCAACTTTTTTAATATCCAGCATTATCTCCGAGAATTAACTAAAGAACATCAGTTGCATTCAAAATACCCACTGAATTTAATCAGTTCAGTGGGCTGCTAGTGCATGAGATTTAAGTGATGAACCAATTTGGGTATCACTCAACTTTTTAGACTCAAGTGTTTAATAATAGTGCCTTTTGATATGGTGACTTTTAAAATATTACTTGGTTCACCTATTTCTTGCCCTGGAGGCAAATCCTTTTCTATAAACATCACATATACCTCTAACATAAACTATCAAACTAAAACTGTTCTCCCTGTGTAACAAATGTAAATATACCTAATTAAAAATCTGATGTTATTAAAAGGAATATCTCAGTATTCATCAGTGTAAGGATGACAGTGTAAGCAAAACTGCAGTCACTCACCACTGCCTGGCTGCTAGGTGTCTGTGGTTACCAACACCCAAGGTTACAACTCATCTCAGTTCAAGATTAACAGGTACCGTTAAATCAAAGAATAATAACATTCTAGAAGTTGAATGGACCCTTTAAAAAATTACCGTGGATTGCAGGTCATAGAAAACAGTTTGGGCAGCTTAAACAAAGTGAAGGATTTACTGAAAAACTGCAGAATCAGATGAAAGGAAGAATTGAGCCATTAAGCCCTAAGAAGAGCAAGAAGCTGGGAATTTCTGAGGCCAGCAGCAGCAGGTGGGGGTGGCTTGCTCTCAGTTACTAATGATAGTCAATGTCAACATTGTTCCATCTCTGCGCTCCCCTATTCAATACTGCAGGAAAGAGAGCCTGCCTGGCCTGGGATAGATGCCCTCTCCTGCTTAATCAGCTCTAAAGGGAGGCTGTGGCACATGGACCCATAGCATCCCTAGGTATCAGAGGCAATGTCCTGAGAATAAAGTGAACGAGGCAACCATCACAAGAGGTGTCTATTACAATCATTTTCTTTAGCCCATTTATTTCAGAGTAGGAAACCCAGGGTGACAAAGAGATCACAAAGGCAGTCAGTGACAAACCAGGATTGGTTATTATCCTGTTACAATCTCTCCTAAGTACTCCTCCTGGGCTTTCTCCTATCCAACAGACACCAAATATTATTCTTAAAGTTGTCTTTTACTAACAGTTTCAGCACCCCTACAGCAATGAAAAGGATACCAGTTAAGAGCCAGAAAGACTTATTAGGAGTCAGGGCAATGGGTCAGCAGTCAGGATTAGAAAAAGGGTTTGTAGTTTCTAGCATAACCAGTTTGTTGAAGGAACTGAACTCAGTGGGACACAATCAGGAAGTGAATTTATCTTCCTCCAGAAACCCCCACGCCCAACTATAATCCTGTGTCAGATCTCCCCTTCCCATCCTTTAACATTATCTCAGCAGATCCCATTGCTTCTTGTCATTAAACATACTAAAAAATAAAATGAAATGAAAATGTTAAAGTCTACTACAGTTAAATTGTCAGTCTTGCATCTAATTCAGAACTTCTCCCATTCCATCAGCTTGGTCTGCCTAGCCCAGAAACTTGCCATAGAAGAAAGGTCTTT